TTTACAATAGCCTCAAAAAAAAAAAAAATGGGAATCAATGAAAGAGGTGAAAGATCTATATAATGAAATTACAGAACCCTAAAGAAAGAAATAAAAGAAGATCTTAGAAGATGGAAAGATCTACCTTGCTCTTGGATAGGCAGAATTAATATTAGCAAAATGACCATAATGGGCTGGGGTTGTGACTCAGCAGTAGAGCACTCACCTAGCATGTGCGAGGCCCTGGGTTCAAACCTCAGAACCACATAAAAATAAATAAAGATAAAGGTATTGTGTTCAACTACAACTAAAAACTAAATATTAAAAAAAAAATGACCATACTTCCAAAAGTACAATACAGATTCAATGCAATTTTAATCAAAATCCCAATGACATTCCTCATTGAAATAGAAAAAGCAATCATGAAATTCATCTGGAAAAATAAGAGATCTAGAATAGCTTAAGAAATACAAATCCTTAGGAAGAAGAGTGGAGCAAGTGGCATCACTGTATGCAGAGCTTAAACTATATACTACAGAGCAATAGTAACAAAAACAGCATGGTATTGGCACCAAAACAGACTCGTAGACTAATGGTACAGAATAGAGGACACAGAGACTAACCCACAAAATTACAATTATCTTATATTAGACAAAGATGCCAAAAACATACATTGGAGAAAAGATAGCCTCTTCAATCAATGGTGCTGGGAAAACTGGAAATCCATATGCAACAAAATGAAATTAAACCCCCTATTTCTCACTATGTACAAAACTCAACTCAAAATGGATCAAGGACTTAGGAATAAAACCAGAGACCCTGCATCTAATAGAAGAAAAAGTAGGCCCTAATCTCCATCATGTGGGATTAGGCCCCAATGTCCTTAATAAGACTCCTTTGGCGTAAGAATTAAAACCAAGAATCAATAAATGGGATGGATTCAAACTAAAAAGTTTCTTCTTAGCAAAAGAAACAATCTGTGAGGTGAATAGAGAGTCTACATCTTGGGAGAAAACTTTTACTCCTCAACATCAGATAGAGCACTAATCTCTATGGTATATAAAGAACTCAAAAAGTTAAACACCAAAAAAAAAAAAAAAAACAACCCAATCAATAAATGGGCCGAGGACATGAACAGATACTCCTCAAATAATGATATATAATCAATCAACAAATATATGAAAAAATGTTCATCACTGCTAGCAATCAGAGAAATACAAATCAAAACCACTCTTAAGATTTCACCTCACTCCAGTCATAATGGCAGCTATTATAAAGACAAACAACAATAAGCTTTGGCAAGGATGTGGGGAAAAAGGTACACTCATACACTGCTGGTGGGACTGCAAACTGGTGCAGCCAATATGGAAAGCAGTATGGAGATTTCTTAAAAAATTGGGAATGGAACCACCATATGACCCAGCTATCCCACTCCTTGGTGTATACCCAAAGGACTTAAAAACAGCATACCATAGGGACACTGTCACATCAATGTTTATAGCAGCACAATTCACAATAGCTAAACTGTGGAACCTAGATGCCCTTCAGTAGATAAAAGGATTTTAAAAAAGTGGCACATATACACAATAGAATATTGCTCAGCAATAAAAGAGCAAAAAATCATGGCATTTGCAGGTAAATGGATGGAGTTAGAGAAGATAATAATAAGTAAAGTTAGCCAATCCCAAATAACTAAATGCCAAATGTTTTCTTTGATATGAAGCTGATTCATAGTGGGATAAGAAGAAGGAGCATGGGAGGAAAAGGTGAACTCTAGATAGGGCAGAGGGATTAGAGGTAAATGGAGTGGGCATGGGGTTAGAAATGATGGTGGAACATGATGATCATTATTATCCAAAGTACACATATGAAGACATGAATTGGTATGAATATACTTTGTATACAACCACAGGTATGAAAAATTGTGCTCTATATGTGTAATAAGAATTGTAATGCATTCCACTGTCATATATCAATAATAAAAAATTATAGAAAAAAAGCTTAAAATATCAGGATCTCTGGGATGAAACAGTACTCAGATAAACATTTATAACTTAAAGTACTTGTATCATAAAGAAGCTAGAATAGGGCTGGGGTTGTGGCTCAGCAGTAGAGTGCTCCCCTAGCACATGTGAGGCCCTGGGTTTGACCCTGAGCACCACATAAAAATAAATAAATAAAATAAAGGTATTGTGTCCAGCTACAACTGAAAAAAAAATTTTTTTAAAGAAGCTAGAATAACAATCAAATTATTTTCAAATAAAGTAGGAGTAAGGAAAAAGTAAGAGTAGGAAAAGAAATATATATATAATAGAAAAGAGATAATACAGCTAAAATTTAATAAAATCAAAGAAGTCTAATCAAAAAAAAAAAAAGTAAGAACACAAATGGAAATGGAAAGGAAGCTATCAAAATAACCCTAAAGATGCTAAAAATATATTAAGGTAATATTACAATTATATGCCAACATGTGAGAGCTTATATAATATAGTCTGTATTAGAGAAAGATAAGTGTGTTGCTAAGAAGAAAGTGTATTCAGTCATTGATAGATGAAACATTCTACATGTCTGTTAAGTCTAAATTATTGATTGTATTATTTCATTCTAACGTTTCTTCATTTAGGTTTTTTGGTTTTTTTTTGTGGTGCTGGGGACTGAACCCAGGGCCTTGTGTTCATGAGGCAAGCACTCTACCAACTGAGCTATATCCCTAACTCTCTGTTTAGTTTTTGTCTCGAGGATCCATTCAGCAGTGAGAGAGGTGTGTTAAAGTAAAGTCACCCAGTATTATTGTGTTGGGTCTATTTGATTCTTGAAGTTGAGGAGGGTTTGTCTGATGTATGTAGATGTTCCATTGCTTGGGGAATAGATATTTATGATTGTTATGTCATGTTGATGTATAATTCTCTTAAGCAATATGCAATGTTGTTCTGAGGCTTCTTTTTTTTTTTTTTTTTTTTTTGGTAGGGCTGAGGATTGAACCCAGGGCTTTAAGCATGCCAGGTAAGCACACTATATCCCCAGCCCTATTATTAAAAGGACAAGTTCTTCTCTCCCCTCTTCTCCCCTTCTCTAACAAGATTAAGGAGATAGTGTTATCTTTTCTTCCCCAACATACCCACCACAGGAAGGAGATATCTGCCAGAGGATCTAAGAAGTGAATTTCAACATACCTACAGGGCACACCTGGGATCATAGGATTTGAATAGCTTCTTTAAAAGCCTTGTTTTCCCTGATGGACAGAATCACAGCCTCAGGGACAGGAGTCCCCTGTGTTTCTCCTTTGCTAGCAAAGCAATAAAACTTTTTTCCTTTTTTACAAAACTGTGTCATCTATATTAAATTGACATTAATTAGCATTGGGGAAACAGGATAAGCTTTTGGTTACAGGTTTAATCCCCAGCACCACAAAAAAAAAAAAAAAAAAAAAAGGAAAGAGAATTTATTTCCAACTTCAAAATTTTTGTTGCCATTTTCTTTTTTCCCAGTTCTTCCTACCTTTCAGATACATACATTAACAAAATTTTCCATCACCAATTTCTTTTGTGATGTTTCTGGAGAAAATAAAATTGCATGCATGGATTTCCTTACTTACCTTTGGATAAAGGTTACTGAACAGAAAGGTTGGTACACAAATGTAATCTACATTAGATTCACCCAGACTTTTTGTATCCATAAAAATTTGGTTATTTTGACATGACCTCTAACTGATCATATGTCAGAATAATCCATATTTTCTGGAGGAAAAAGCCTATCTAGAGAAGAAAGGAAATGGTTTCATTGATAGGCAATAAGATTTTTAGAAAATTATTTTAATACTTTATCTGACAATGAAGGTAGAAAATAGAAATCATTGTCAGGTGTGGTGGCACAAACCTGTAATCCAAGTAGCTCAGAGGCTGAGTCAGGAGGATTAGAAGTTTAAAAGCCAGCCGCAACAATTTACCAAGGCCCTAAGCAATTTAGTAAGACCCTGTCTCAAAATAAATCAATTAATAAAGGGCTGGGGATGTGGCTCAGTGGCTAAGCACTCCTGGGTTCAATCCCTGGTACAGAAAAAAAAAAAATTTGCTGAAGAATGAACTTACTCATTTAACATAGGTTAACTGAGAACACAGAACCATGCAAGACTGCATAAAAAACAGAGCTGTAAACTAAATTAATAGCTATTTCACTTGGCCATTAAGTTTTAGAGCAACTGTTGTTACACAGCAATACACTAGTACAACTAATTATGTTCTTTTTTGGGGAGTGGGTGGGTACCAGGGATTGAATTTAGGGGCACTCGATCATTGAGTCATATCCGCAGCCCTATTTTGTATTTTTTTAAGAGACAGGGTCTGACTGAGTTGCTTAGCACCTCGCTAAATTGCTGAGGCTGGCTTAGAACTCTTGATCCTCCTGCCTCAGCCTCCCAAGCCACTGGGATTACAGACATGTGCCACTATGCCCAACCCCTAATTTTGTTCTTTTTGCTAAGATGACAGATATGAAATAAAAACTGGGATATATCACATTTTTAGTGAAATACTAAAAATTTAATAGATTACTAAAAATAAATTTACAGTACTATTTTAATTTTTGATGCATGTTCATATGACATCATACCTAATAATATTTTTTCTTCATTTTGGTCAGAATTTAACAAAACTCATGGATAGTAGGTACTCAACTACCTATTAAAGTATTTACAAGTTAGTGGAACCTATGTGTTATATCCTAAAAGTAAAGTCATACTCATTTTTCAAAGTTAAAGCACTAGGTACTTACTGAAGATTTGTTATGATATATTATAATTGATAGATTTTAAGTTAAAGAGATTAAAGATTGAACATTACTGTTACGAGTTTCAGTTTTTATAATCTTAGCATTATTATGGCTATGTGGATACAGAACAGAGCCACAACTTCCAGGAACTATTCCTTCTAAATACTCATATTGAGTACATTGAAATTTATGTACCAATACTTTACCACCTTTCATATAATTCTTTAAAGTATAGAAGAAAATAGAAAAAGTACCTTTGATCTTACTCCGTAGATATTTTAGAACTTCTTGAGTTCCTTTCTGAAAGGGCAGAGGAAAAAAAAACATGCATTCACCAAGAATACCTTGCAGTTTTACAGATCAACATATATACATTTACAATTCAATTGAAAGATAAAGAGCTGAATTTTAAATAGTTACATTTATAATTTCTCTCCGAATGGTTCTCAAAGGATTTCCTTCTAGTGCCAGGAATTTCAAATGTAGGTTTCCCAATGAACAGGGCAGACTACAAAAGATTAAATTGATTTCAGAGAAAATGTTAAATATAAATCTAGACCAACCAAATAGTTAACTATAAATTAACAGCATATGATAAACAATATAATATAATAGTCTCAAAAAAGGCCTACATAGGCCTAAAATTTTTTCCCTCAGATAATGCTAAACATATAAAAGAAAAACCAGACATATCTTCAAAGTTGTCATGATAAAATTGCTAAAAAAGAATGTTAGATATAAAATATTTGCTAAATTATATCTAGTGCTAAAAAGAAAATGTTAAAAAAATATAAATTTTAATGACTCAGCAATTCAACCAGTCTCATTAATAATGTTTTAATTTTGTACTTCAAGGAAGCAAATAAAATTATTTCTAAATGAAAAAAAATGACAAATAAAAACAACAAAATACATACCCAATTAGGTTTTCATTCAATAAGAACAGTCATTTTTATCTTTGGCACATAAAAAAGATAACCCATTTATACACATATACACTCTCAATAAAATTTATTGTTTCTACAAAATACTACAAATTGGCATAGTGTCAAACTTCTTGCTCTGAAGTTCTCAATTGAACAAAGGGAAAAAACACATATAAAAGTGCACAAAATATAACAAATAATACGTATGTTATATTGCTGGTGAGAATACACGTAATACAACTACTTTAAAAATGGTGTCTTTTAAAATTGAAGATATATCCACCATACAAGTAAGCAATTCTACTCCCTATATTTACCAAGCCCCCCAAATAAAAACAATAATGTCCATACAAAATCTTACACACGAATGTTCACAATAGCAAAAAAATTGAAGAACACCCAAATGTTCATCAACTAACTAGTAGAGATGACTAAATTGTGATATATCTACATAAGAGAATATTCAGCAAAAATGAATGAACTTTATGAACACAACTACATGAGTGAATTACAAAAACTTTATGCTACATGAAAGAAGCCAAACACAAAAACTGTATACTGCATAAAGCCATTTATATGATTTTCTACAAAAGGCAAAGAGAGTACATAGTAGTTACTAGTTAGCAATATGGAAACAGAATTGATGGCAAAGGCGGAAAATTCTTGGGAAGACAGAAGTTTTCTAACATGACTGTGACAATGTTTACACAACTGTACACATTTGCCAAAAGTCATCAAAGTATATGCTTTTATTATATGTAAGTCACACATCAAAAAATAACATTATATAAAAATATATATAATAAGAAAAACCCTAAATAAGTAAAGCTGCTGTGAAAATAGAAACAAGGATAAAGGAATAGAAGTGAGTAGCAACACCTGGATTTGGGCTTAAAATGAATGGGATTCCCTTAGGCATTAAGGCAGGAAAAGGGCATTTTAGGATAAAGAAACAAAAGGAAGGGGTGGCGTATTTATAGTTTGATGTAGTCAGAAAGCAGGATACCTAGAACAGCGAAAGAAAGAAGCAACCAAAAGTCGTTTCAGCTTCAGACACCCTTGACTGTTTTACCAGAAATTTTGGACTTTATCTTTCAATTACTGGTTTGAAGACAAGATGTACCAAAATCTTCCCAGGAATTATTTTTTAAACAAAATAAAACAAAACAAACTATAAGGTGTCATTGTAAGAGATTCTAATTCATTGGTACCTCAAAATCTGTATTATTTTTCCCCTTATTTAATGCCTTTTAAATGATTCTAATACTCAGCCGTATTTGAGAAAACAGTGCTATGGCAATGGAAAACTATCAAAGCTTCTCAAGTAGATGAATGATTAGATATTTTTATTTTATAGAAACTATTCTAGTAACAGTATTAGGAACCAGTATTTTAGTTAGAAGAAAATTTGAAGGGGTGGAAAATGACAAGAATTATTAGTATCTCAGAACTATATGCTTTGAGGGAAGGAAAAAAACTCCTAAAAATATACTAAAATATGATTATGTTGTAGGCCCTTTATCTCCAGAGCTCTGGAGAAAGAGGAAAATATATGTGAATATATTTTCTGATATCAGAAAAACTGAAATACATTTTCTGACATTAAAAATATTTGTACCAACCATTTAGTTTTTGTTAAACATCTGCTTCCTACTGCTCTTATGCAGTAGACTAAATAAAACCACCAAGGAGAAAATTTTACATGTTAATATTTGTAAGAAGCAATAGATTATTTTATTCATTACTGGAAAGATAAACACTTTTATAGATATTCAGGTCACTGCTTAATTCTATCATATATGTATGAAAAGGTGATCATTATCCAAGTATTGAAATCAATGGTCTAAATATGCCATAAGTACATTGTGGAAACAAATGTTACTTTGAAAAATATTTATTAAAATATACACATAAAAGAAAATCTGCCTTGCCTAATTTTTTCTTCTTTTGTGAATAGTACTCCATATTTCTGGCATTCAAACTTAAAACCTCAGACATCCAGTTGATATATGATCTGAGTCTGTATATATAATTCCATTTCTAAATATGATGTTTTATGACATTTTATGATTCTTTGCTCACTGCTCTGCTTCTCTCCATGTCCAACATAATCAGTCAGCTGCTAAATACAATTTATTCTAATTCACCACACATATGCCTTTTTCTTTTCATTCCCATTGCTTTCAAAATTTAGTTCCTCATTACATAAATCTATACAACTGTCAATACAAGCCATTGACTAAAATGTGTTCCTTAGTGATAACTACTAAACTAACAGCTTTTAGATTTCCTACTTATAAAACCACTCCTATTCAACGTATTATTGTTATTGTTTTAATATTACACTCAAATTAGCCTTGTACATAGTCTTTCTTTAGCACTTAAAATGAAAACTGTTTCTTCAAGGGTCTCTTCCATGTGGCTCAACTTAGTTTTCAAGCTCAAAATTTTTACAAGCTCCCTCTGTGCACCTTATTTAGAATTCCCAAAGTTTTGTTTGTGCTGTTTCCTCCTGCCAAATGTATCATCCTCACTACCTTACACATGAACCTGAAACTTCTATTGTATAAAGATCCAGTATAACTAAGATGAGGTGTAATTCTGAAAGTGAGTATGTTCTTACATTTTGTGTTCTAGGCAATTAACTTACTTTACCCTAATCCCAGTCTTGAAGAACATCTGAAAAAGTTACTGCTATGAAGTGTGCCCTGATTCCTCTTAGTGAACTGTAAATCCTTTAAGCCCCCAAAGTGCTTTATATTCCTCTAATGGCTTTACATTCATTTAACAGATCCAAGAAACATTTATAAAGCACCTTCTATATGCCAAAGGCACTGATCTAAGAGTTGGACATAGTACAGTGAAAAAACACATAAAACTCCAGCCTGCTGGGAGCTGTGTTGGCCAAATAATATTGCTATATTGTGTGCTTGTATGAATACATAACAAGTCCCGCCATTATGTACAACAAAAAAATGTGGACCAAAAATCCAGTTTCCCTAGATTTTAGTTCTAGTGAATTACAGTAACTTGTTTCTACTTCTATAAACATTATCAAGCCAGCTGCCAAGGACGAAATCTAGTTAATCTTTCTTTGTAGATAATATCTGCTCAATAAATATTTAGTGAATTCAAGATTTACAAAAGGATCTCATGTATTGTTTTACAAATATTTTAATTAATAAATTATGACTAAATACAAATATAACTTCTATTAATTTGATCTATTAACTTACCTACTAATGTCATTGTTGCTTAAGTCAAGCCTTTCCAAAGACTGTAGTACTGTAATTTCATCTGGAACAGATTTTAACTTGTTATCCCTCAGGTCTAGCACGAGAATGGAATTCAGATGCTTAAGATGTTCTGCTCCTAACATTTCAATTTGGTTTTCACCTACATGCAATTCCTAAAAAAACAAAGATCAGCCATACGCATTTCTTATTCAATTTTATATTAGATAACGAAAATAAAATTGTGGGTACTCTTAACTTCAAATCATGGAAATATACATTAGAAAAAATACAACTTTCTTATTACTAAGGTACATTTTTAATTACATTTAAGCTATTTTACATATAAAGAAAAAAGGCAAAGAAGAATATCTTCAAAAATGTTCTGGCAATAGAAAAATAATTAAAGATGAATCTTGCAGAAACATCAAGTTTACAAAACCAAAGTAGAGAAATGATTTACTAGCTACATTTATAATATTAATAAAAGCATAAGTCTAAAAAGTACAATGATGAAAAATTAGTTTCAAAACAAATCAGTACCAATCAAAAAATTTATATTTTAGTGAGTTCATGTAATGTTACCATTAATGATAATTATACACATTGGTATCCCATTAACAGAATTTATAATTATCAGTTGGAAAATTAGCTAATTAAATGAAAACTTTTCCATTACCATTTTTTTAGATCACTGTTATCTTTCTATTTAGAAACTCTTTTAACACTAAAAGTAGATATAAAGAAAAGTAAAGCATGACAAACTTTAAACATAATTATAATGCTATATTCTTTCTTTTTTTTTTTTTTTTGGTACTGGAGATTGAACTCAGGAGCACTCAACCACTGAGCCGCACCCCCAGTCTTAGTTTGCATTCTATTTAGAGACAGGGTCCTCACTGAGTTGCTCAGAGTCTCACTTCTCCTGAGCCTGGCTTTGAACTTGCAATCTTCCTGCTGAGCTGCCGGATTACAGGCATATGCCACTGTGCCTGGCTATAATGCTATATTCTTTTTTTTTGGTTGTAGATGGACACAATATATTTTTATATTTATTTTTATGTGGTGCTGAGGATCGAACCCTTGCTTCATGCATGCAAGGCAAGTGCTCTACCACTGAGCCACAACCCCAGCCCAATGCATTATTCTTTTTTTTTTTTTCGTGGTGCTGGGAATTGAAATCAGGGCCTTGTGCATGCGAGGCTAGCACTCTACCAACTGAGCTATATGTATCCCCAGCCCTCTAATGCTATACTTTTTTTTTTTTAATATTTAATTTTTAGTTGTGGTTGGACACAATACCTTTATTTATTTATTTTTATGTGGTGCTGAGGATTAACCAGGGCCTTGCACATACTAGGCAAGCACTCTACCACTGAGCCACAAACCCAGCCCTCAGTGTTATATTCTTAAAGCCAAAATAAAGTAATTTTAAACAGATCGCATAAATGTGAGAGAAGCCAACTTATAGCATTAACTAAATATTTCTTACTAGTATTTCAGGTCTCCCATAGGATAGTCCCAACATACCATGTTACCCTCATTATATAGTATTTCTCCAGTTATGAACTACTAATCAGGTGAAGGGACCAAATACCTATTTTTAAAAATTATTTCTTTTTAAAAATCTGTTACTAACAATATCATTAAAGTCAGTAGTCACATTAAAATTCTAAAAAATACACACACACACACACACACACACTACTTATAACACACATGACCAAAAGATTAGGTCCTTTAAAAAAAATTCATTTTCATAAGCAACTTTTAGAAAATATACCGTTACTTAGTAATATACTAAATAGTACCTTCAATAGTCTACATGAAGGAAATTCTGGTAGAAAACGCAATTTATTCCTCCGCAAATAAAGCAATTCTAGCGATTCCATGCCAGCCAATTCAGGAGGTATAGTTTCCAAGAGATTTGAATTACAATCCAAATGCTTTAATCCTGCAATATATATTCAGTGAAAATAAAATGTACTTTAAAAAGAAAAAAAATTGGTGTATGATTATATAGAATTTCAAAGAATGAGTAATAAATCTCTGCAAGTACTTATGAACATATGATAATGTATACTGGGGCAATAATCAAGAATACTTAAATATTCTTGAACTAAATAAATGTAAACTAAGTTTCTCTTTACATTTAATTAAAATTAAGACCTAATGATGTTAAAATTAGTATCTTTGTAATGCAGTTAAAAAACAAAGTTCTCTAGTACTCTATTGATTTAAAATATATAAATCATATACAATTATTATTGCATATATTATGTACCCTTAAAAAGAAAAGGCTATAATTAAAGACATTTAACATATATGCACATTGACTGAATGAATGGACATCAAGTAACTCTAGCTAATAGTGTCTTAGGTAAGTAAATTTTCTGCTAAAAAGACTTGGATTTTTATGTACTCCCTTCCATTCTTCCATTCATCCATACTGCTTGCTACTCCTTCCCACTCCCATCTTCTTTTCTATTTTTTTTTAATTATATGCTTCTCCTAACACCTCTGCTAACATTCTTGACAAGAGTATTTACTACAGTTTAAAAGAATATCTTTTTTAAAAAAATATTTTTCTTTAGTTGTACATGGACAAAATTACTTTATTTTACTTATTTATTTTTATCTGCTGAAGATGGAACCCAGTGCCATACACATGCTAGGGGAGCACTCTACCACTGAGTCACAACCACAGTCCATCAAAAGAATATCTTTACTTGCAGGATCTCTCTTTCAGCTCCTGGATCCTCCTTTCTTAAAGGCAATCAGAAAAACAAAATTGAAAAAGAAGTAAAGGTTTTAATAAGATTCAATAGGCATGGGCTGGAGTTGTAGCTCAGTGGTAGAGCGTTTGCTAGCATGCATGAGGCACTGGATTCAATCCTCACTACCACATAAAAAATAAATAAAAGATATTGTGTTCATCTATAACTAAAAAAATTAAAAAAAGAAAAAAGATTCAATAGGCTTACTCCATATTAGATTCTTCCACTTACCAGGGCCAACATCTATTCTCCTACCTCTCTAACAGACTGATTATGCAGTATGCATTCACAACTTATTTTCCTGCAGTTTGAGCCTGTTGATTTTTAAATAATTCAAGGCTATATCGATATGTTGCCTTAGATTGCATATTTTCAAGTATATGAAGATGCTAACTGGTTTCAAAGCAAATGAAACAGTACTACTTTCAACTAATAAAATTTATATATTATTTTACTAGAATACTGAGAAAAGAATGTTGCTGTCTGATCCACTCAAATACAATAAATTTTTAAAGTAAAAAATTTGTTTTAAAGAATAATTTTTAGAAATGTTTGCATCTAGGAGCACTAATTGAAAGAATACAAGCAGTAGGGATAAAGCAAGAGGATTTCAGACCTGCTTCTAAAATTTACAACATAATTTCTTCATCAAGGGTTATCAATCTTTAAACTGTAAAAAAAAAAAAAAAAAAATTACCTGATTTAACTTACAGAACTGTAAACTAAATGATGTGATGTCAAAATAATTTGAACAAAAGCATTGTAAAATTTCATGACACCATACATATGAAGAAATTATTCTTAGAATCCATTTATTTATAGTTAAATAACAATTAAATGTCCTAAAACTATACAGGGTATATATTTATATAACTATATAGCTATATTAACTAACTATATATTTATATCTAGTTATAACTACATATTATTTATGTCGTTATACATATATAGTTATAACTATAAACTGCATAAAGACTATAACTATAGTTAAAACTATATGAAGAGATAGCATAGCTGAACAAATGAAGAGATAGCATAGCTGAAAACCTTAATCAATTTCTCAATTACTTTTTAATATGCCTAAATATCTTTTGATGTTAATTCTTTAGAAATTTGTCAGATAATAATGGTCTGGAGAAAATGTGACTAAGTATTGCTTGCATTTACTATCATAAAATTATTATTTACTTCTCTATAATTATGTTACAAATTATTTTTCCAAAGGCAAGTTACATCAACTTCAAACTTATGTAGTTTTTTAAATATTTTAAAAATGATTTACTTTTCATTTTGCTTATTTCCGCTGGCAAACTCTTCAGTTGGTTACTGGAAAGATTGAGTCGTATCAGACTAGACAGAGAAGAAAAACTAACAGGAACAGTTGAAAGACGATTGCTTGAAAGATCCTTTAAAAAGAAAGAATGAATGAATAAGTGAGGTAACAGGAAAGTACATAAATAGCCCTAAATGGAGTTTCAGAAACTGGGGGAAATGCAAGAAAAAAGACTACTTTAGAGGTGACTGATTTTGTAACCTTAACACAATTTCCCAGATTATCATTCACTTCAATGTTTTCAAATATCTATAGACCCACAATGTATTCATCAAGATAGCAGATAGAAATTAGAATGAATTCTTTTTTCTTTCTTCTTTCCACATATTTTTATTGGTGCATTATAGTTGTACATAATTATGGAATTTGTTGTTATATATTTACACGTGCACAAAATAAAACAATGTAATTTGGTGACTATCAATCCCTAGCAGTTTTCCCTAGAATAAATTCTTACTTTAAAAATATTTAACATAGGAGATAGGAAGATGGCAGTGAGGGGAGTGCATTGCCCCCGTGTGCTGCTTCACTGTGTGGGAGTATGACCAGTCAGGACGGCTAAAGGCTATCTTGTTAGGAATTTCCAGCAATAGTGGGGTGCTCCGGAACCTGGAGGAAGGATTTCCATCTCACGAGGATCGGCTACGGGGACTCAAACGCGAGAGATTTGTCACACGGAGGGTAACACTGCTTATTCAGCAAATCGCCCCGCGGCCAGAGTCTGCAGCGCACACTGGGAAACGAGGAGGAGATAGTGGTGCAGGGATACAGCGCTGCAGTTTCTGCCAGCCGTGCAAGCACCGTACTCAGTGCTGAATTCTGGGTTCGAGATGGGGGAAGGAAGCAGTCCATTTCGGTTCTCCACACCGGTCAGACCAGAGAGGAGGCCAGCGGCCACCATCTTGGAGAGCTGACGTCACCATCCCTGTTTTCGACTGACCGCAGCTCATTCAGCCATAGAACAGGTAATTTCAGGCTGCCATTCGCCTGCGGCTTGCAGACAGATTACTCAGGCTCAGTGCCTGAGTGCTTCTTGGAGCCTGCTCTTATCAGAGCATACACCGAGCACGGAGCGGCCGAGTTCCGGCTCCCAGAACTGCTCTGGCCCAGGGCTAAGGAGCCCGCGGAAACTGCTTCTCGGTCCGGATCCTGATGAGGGCCGGTCAGGACTCACCCGTTGCTTTGGTTACCCAGCAAAGGGAACGAAATGCTGCCATTCGCATAGGATACCAACATGGCAGAGATCTGATGTCATCAGAAAGCGGCGGAGGAGAGAACTTCATCAATACCAGCGGCGACAGAAACAGTTGGTCTCCTGGTAGGGAGGGTGAGGCACAGACACCCGAGTCTCTCTCGATTTGTCTTTGAGCCAGAGGAGAGGAGCCGGGCCGCCGCCCGCGCCCGGAGCAGGCCCAGGGGCTCACCGGCGTGGTGATCGTGGTGATCGCGTGACCACATTTGGAGAGGGGGCGGAGCGGGGCCACCACCCCCGCCAGCAAGGTGAGCAGACCCGCGACCCAGTGGTACACGGGCGTGGTAGGAGGGGCAGGGCAGAGCCACAGCCCGAGCCTGCAAGGTAAGCAGACCTGCGACAGACCTGCGGGTCAGGCCCAGCGGCCTGCCAGCGTGGTACACACGTCACCCCAACTGGAGTAGGGGCACAGCAGAGCCTTCACCCGCACCCGGATCAGGCCCCGCCGGTGTGGTGGTCACGTGACCCCAATTGGAGTGGGGGCAGGGCAGAGCCGCCGCCCGCGCCTGCAAGATAGGCAGACCTGCGACAGACCGGCGGATCAGGCCCAGGAGCCTGCCAGCGTGGTACACACATCACCCCAATTGGAGTAGGGGCAGAGCAGAATCGCCGCCCGTGCCAGGAACAGGCCCAGCGACCTGCCGGAGTGGTAGTCACGACACCCCAATTGGAGTAGGGGCAGAGCAGAGCCGCCACCTGTGCCTGAAAGGTGGGCAGACCTGCGATCGACCAGCGGGACAGGCCCAGTGGTCTGCCGGTGCAACAGACATGTCACCCCATTTGGAGTAGGGGCAGACCAGAGCCGCCGCCCATGCCTGCAGGGTAGGCAGACCTGCAACCGACCGGCGGATCAGGCCCGGTGGCCTGCCGGCGTGGTACACTCGTCACCCCAATTGGAGTAGGGGCAGAGCAGATCCTTCTCCCACGGCCGGATCAGGCCCTGCCGGTGTGGTGGCAACGTGACCCTAATTGGAGTGAGGGCGGAGCGGAACCGCCACCCGTGCCCGCAGGGTGAGCAGACCTGTGACCAACCTGCAGATCAGGCCCAGGGGTCCGCAGGCGTGGTAGGAGGGGCAGGGCAGATCCGCCGCCCGCGCCTCCAAGGTAGGCAGACCTGCAACAGACCGGCGGATCAGGCCCAGGAGCCTGCCGTTGTGGTACACACACCACCCTAATTGGAGTAGGGGCAGAGCAGAGTCGCCGCCCGTGCCAGGAACAGGCCCAGCGTCCTGCAGGCGGGGTAGTCACGACACCCCAATTGGAGTAGGGGCAGAGCAGAGCCTCCACCCGTGCCCGAAAGGTGGGCAGATCTGCGACCGACCAGCGGGACAGGCCCAGTGGCCTGCCGGTACGACAGACACGTCACCCCATTTGGAGTAGGGGCAGAGTAGAGCCGCCACCCGCGCCTGCAGGGTAGGCAAACCTGCAACCGACCGGCGGATCAGGCCCGGTGGCCTGCCGGCGTGGTACACTAGTCACCCCAATTGGAGTAGGGGCAGAACAGAGCCGCCGCCAGCGCCCAGAACAGGCCCAGTGACCTGCCGGCGTGGTAGCCACGACACCCCAATTGGAATAAGGAGAGAGCAGAGCCGCTGCCCGCGCCTGCAGGAAAGATACGCAAGCAGTATGAAAAGACAAGGAAAGAAAGGACCACAAGCAATGCAGGTCAACGCAACTTTAGAAGAGGTAACAGCTGCAGCAGATGGAATGTCAGATAAAGAATTCAGGATATACATGCTTCAGACGATCTGGAGTATCAAGGAAGACATTAAACAGCAAAATAAGACAATGAAAGATCACTTTGACAATGAATTACGCAAACAAATCCAGGAAGCAAAGGATCAACTATACAGGGAGATAGAGGTTATAAAAAACAAACAAACAGAAATCCTAGAAATGCAGGAAGCAATAAACCAACTTAAAAACTCAATGGAGAATACTACCAGCAGAGTAGAACACTTAGAAGATAGAACATCAGACAATGAAGACAAAGTATTTCAACTGGAAAAGAACATAGACAGCTCAGCAAGACTGTTAAGAAACCATGAGCAGAACATCCAAGAAATATGGGATAACATTAAGAGACCAAACTTAAGAGTCATTGGGATACAGGAAGGTACAGAACTCCAAACCAAAGGAATGAGCAATCTATTCAATGAAATAATACGAGAAAACTTCCCAGACTTGAAAAATGAGACAGAATCCCAAATCCTAGAAGCCTACAGGACGCTGAATGTGCAAAATCATAAGAGATCCACACATAGACACATTATAATGAAGATGCCCAACATACAGAATAAGGAGAGAATTTTAAAAGCTACAAGAGAAAGGAAGCAGATTACATTTAGGGGTAAGCCAATCAGGATAACAGCTGATCTTTCAACACAGACTCTGAAAGCTAGAAGATCCTGGAATAACTTATTTGAAACACTGAAAGAAAACGGGTTCCAACCAAGAATTGTGTATCCAGCAAAATTAAGCTTCAGGATGGAAGATGAAATTAAAACCTTCCACGATAAACAAAAGTTTAAAGAATTTGCAGCTAGACAACCATCTCTTCAAAACATCCTCGCCAAAACATTACAGGAAGAGGAAATGGAAAATAACAATGAAAACCAACAGTGGGAGGTAGGACAGTAAAGGGGGGGGGAAGATAATCAAAGAGGAAAACAAACCATGTTTAGTAACAGAAATAAACAAATATGGCTGGAAGAACAACCCATATCTCAATAATAACCCTAAATGTTAATGGCTTAAACTCACCAATTAAGAGACATAGGCTAGTAGAATGGATCACAAAACAAGACCCAACAATATGCTGCCTACAGGAGACGCATTTGATAGGAAAAGACATACATAGGCTGAAGGTGAAAGGTTGGGAAAAATCATATCACTCATATGGACTTCGGAAACAAGCAGGAGTGTCCATACTCATATCAAATAAAATAGATTTCAAGCCAAAGTTAATCAAAAGGGATAAAGAGGGACACTACATACTGCTTAAGGGAACCATACACCAACAAGACATAACAATCATAAATATTTATGCCCCAAACAATGGTGCAGCTATGTTTGTCAAACAAACTCTTCTCAAGTTCAAGAGTCTAATAGACCACCATACCATAATCATGGGAGACTTCAACACACCTCTCTCGCCACTGGACAGATCTTCCAAACAAAAGTTGAATAAGGAAACTATAGAACTCAACAACACTATTAATAACCTAGACCTAATTGACATATATAGAGTATACCACCCAACATCAAGCAGTTACACTTTTTTCTCAGCAGCACATGGATCCTTCTCAAAAACAGATCATATATTATGTCACAGGGCAACTCTTACACAATATGAAGGAGTAGAGATAATACCATGCATCTTATCTGATCATAATGGAATGAAACTGAAAATCAACGATAAAAGAAGGAAGGAAAAAGCATACATCACTTGGAGAATGAACAATAGGTTACTCAATGATCAATGGGTTATAGAAGACATCAAGGAGGAAATTAAAAAATTCTTACAGATAAATGAAAACACAGACACAACATATCGGAATCTATGGGACACATTGAAAGCAGTTGTAAGAGGAAAATTCATTGCTTGGAGTTCATTCCTTAAAAAAAGAAAAAACCAAAAAATAAATGATCTCATACTTCATCTCAAAATCCTTGAAAAAGAAGAGCAAAACAGCAGCAAAAGAAGTAGAAGGCAAGAAATAATTAAAATCAGAGCTGAAATTAATGATATCGAAACAAAAGAAACAATTGAAAAAGTTGACAAAACTAAAAGTTGGTTCTTTGAAAAAATAAACAAAATC